GTGCCTCAACGAGTTTTTTGCGGCTGATCCTTGCCACTACAACAAAGGTTTCATTATTACGTACGAATATCCAATGGGCTGAGATGCCTACTGGTTTCCAAACCATCGATGTTCTGCGTGTACATACGAAGTAGAAGCTTTTTGTCCTGCAACAGTCTGACAAAGTAGTGGGCTTCGTTTGGAAAATAAAGACCCGGGTACAATTTGTGCGCTATCTGGTAAAACGGCACCGGGTTCTGCTGGAAGTAGTTGATATCGAAAACGGCCATTGGGTACGGAAGCTTGTACTTGTCCAGCTGGTCGTAAAGACCCGATTTCGGGGTACTAAACTTCGTTGCGAAACACATGTCAAGTAGCAAGTGTTCATCCAAAGAAGTTTTCTAAGGGACTTAGACGCAGTGGTTTCGGATTAAAGTCTACAAAGTTCAGTTTATTTAAATAAATTGAGTTACTTTTACTCTTTTAAACTAATGAGGTCGGATTCAGGCTGTGCGCAACCATTTTGATAACGATCCTACATTTCAATGTGGCGAGCCACATGTGGAGAGGGTGAAATCTGAAGTAGCTTCCCTGGAGTTCTTATCGATTACGAGCAACAATGTTCTGACATAAACATTCAAAACGAACCAACAACAGCCACGACCTCGACATCAAATCAGTGTCCATTCATCGTCCAAAATAACTATGGCAACTACTCCAGCTTTGATAATCTAGTCCAGATTTAACGCTGGTTGCACAGAAGCCGAATCCTAAGCAAACCATTTAAATAAACAAAAGTAACCGAATCTAAATTACCTTAAATAAAATAATTTTATTATTACTGCTGCTACTGCTTTACTATTATTAATAGTACTATTTGTATTATTACTACTACCTGACTTTAAATAAAACAAGTCTATTTCCTTTCGAAAACTTGTTCGTATGGACATCGACTAATAATAATTTTTCGAACATGTATGCAAAAACAATTCTAAGAATCGCCATCATCATAGTTACACATGGAAAATATCCGTTTCCCAATGACATACGCAAGAGTAAAATATAACATTAGCATAGCCACCTGCAACAGCTGGCGAAATTTTGGAAAAAAAACTATTAGAAACACAGACGTCAGCACGACGTCATGGGGCGATTGCGGAATTGGCATAAGCGCCTTTAAGATCACAAATACCGGCTGTGTAATGGACCGGACACCAAACGAATGAATGAACATTTTTCTGCCTGCTTACAATTATTAAGGAAACCTCTCAAAATTAGCATCTCCTTATAATTCATGTCTACCTAGTGAAACGGGACGGTATAAAACTGCCAATTTGGCAAAACGCTACATCGATGGTGCTGGTAATAATGTCCAGCAAAATACAGGTGACAACTGCAGTAGCCCAAATACTTTTACTTTTAAAAGCATGGTTGTCCGGTGCGACCAGATGAACGTCATTGTTTTCGCTACGCATCAACTAACAACTTGAAACAAATGTTGTAATCAGGCAAAATCTTTTACATCTTTCAAGGACGCTTCACTAAAAAGCTGCTAAAGTGCGATATTTCCACTAATTAATACTTTCTTTAGGTTTAGCAATATCTGATATTACATAATATCTCATGAACAACGTTCCAAAAGTTCTATGTGCCGGAAAATGTTAAACAGCGCACAACTGCTCAAAAATAAGATTTTGTCCTTTGTGATGAGCATCAGGGGGCCCTAGTGGCAAAATGATGCGAAATGCATCTAACATCACAGGTGTTTAAATACCACGAAACCTTGGCATGTTTAAATGGCCTATAAACGGAGCAATACACTCTTAAGTCTGAATCTGGTGAGTTATGTGACATTTAACCGCAAAAGACCAACAATCGTTTGTCAAAGTGTACCTTGTAACAGCTTAAAACTAAGGCTTCATTGAAAGCCATGATGGGTTTTACCATAATGATGAACGAAGGAAATACTTTAGAAACAATTTACAAGTTTTAAATAATTTAGTTTGAAAATAACTGTATGTTTGAAATTCTTTCGTCACGCAAATGAACATAAATTCAAACTTTTAATAGCCGTTAACTACGTTCATTCGTAATGACGAAGTGAAGAAAGAAAGAAAGTGAATGTTGCAGTGTCGGTCATCCTTCAGTTTCATGAATGGGACCTTCCGCCATCCGCCTTTTCATGAAGTCAATGGTGCGGTGCTGATCTCCGTTTCTATGCTATCAATCAGGGGTACCTTATTTTTTCCAATGACAGAACCTACAACCATGCAGCACGCGTAGCGCGTAGGTCCCCGTTTCCTTCACACAGAGTGATAGTCATTTATCGACTTCGACCGATGAAGAAGGGCATGTGACCAGACCGGGGCTTCATTTTAGGGCCTGTCGGTTTTGAATTCGACAATCTGTCGATCAAAAAAACAAGTCTGAAGCAATTTGTGGTAAATTCCTTGATCAAGAGAATTCTTGAATAAGACAAAGATTGCTCTCGAGAGGGAATCGAACTCGGCACCTC